TCGCCATGTTAAATTCGCCAGTTGCTTGCATGCAAAAGAGATTTATCGCGAACCAGTACTGGGTCTAGAACTAGAAGCGCACCAGTTCAGAACTAGAGATTTTCCCCACAGGGTATATACATGTACACAAACATATGTACATACATACAAATATATATACAACCATTCAAACATATGTATATACATGAAAACATTGCTGTCCATAAGTCAGTACATCTACGAAGCTCGTTTGCTTCATCATAAATATATCCATACAAACATATGTATATATGTACGAATGGATGTAGTTACGCGAAGCACGCTTGCATCATTTATACATATGTATATTGCTTGGTAGCGGCAGAGCTGAAATGCGCAATGAGTTCGTTCATACATACATATATATGTATACTACATACGTGCAATCAAACATACGTAAATATATACATATGTAGGTACTCGTATCCGTCATGCGTCGCTTTATTTCTTTTTTCCTCTTCCCTATACTACCTATATCTTCCTTCTCACTCATGTAACGTTTTCAGTTTTAAAAATTTCACTCTCCATTTTTGCGATACCGCCGCCTAAGAAGTTTCACTTTAAAAATCATTTTGGACGAGATGAAGTTTGCGGGTCTGCTAGTATTATAATATTTCATTTAAACTAATTAAGTTTAATTTTAAACATTTGGCAACCCATGAGAACGACTTCAATATTATTCAAAACTTTCAAACTAAAGGTTTCTTAACAATATTTCGTTAGACAACCATATTTTAATTCTTCAGATAGCTTGCGTATAATTCATTTAAATTTGACTTTTCAAACAGGTGGCAACCTTTTTCAAAATATATTCAAACTACAGCTTTTTTAAGCCTCTTGTCATGCATTTTTTAATATAATTTTCAAACAAATAACTCTCTTAATTTAAGTTGAATTTTTTTTTTTTTTTAAAGATGGCAGCCCTCATCCATGAGTAGTTAATTATTTATATATGTCCATACCATAATTGTTTACCAAAATTATTTCCTGAGAAATGCAGTATGAAAAATTCCGTTTGTATGGGGGTGCCACGCCCCCTTGCCTAATCGAAATTAAATGTATCCTATATTTTAAGTTGGGCTTAATGACTGTAGAGTACAAAATTTCATGGTGATCGGTTGAGAAGTTAAAGCGCGAAAGCGTAGCAAACAAACAAACTCACTTTCGGCTTTATAATATTAGTAAGGATAAGGATACTTCAACAAGATGTCTGCTTGATGTACGCTCTTTTATTGGTTAATGAACCTTCTTACAATTCTGCTTGTATCCAGAAACATTGCTTTCACTATTTGGAACATTATCTGCGACATAGAGAGTTCCGCTAAACTTTGTATGTTCGTTTTTGGTACTATGGCTGTGGCTGATATGACTACTGGAAGTATTCGAATAGTTCTCATTCCCCACAGTTGCTTGGCAAGTTCAATATATTTACTTATTTTAAGTGCATATGTTGTAGTTAAATTTGTTGTCAAACGTACTGATATATCGATAAGCCAGCAAACTTTTGATTTTTGGTCCACAATAATTATGTCAGGTCGGTTTGCGTCTATTCGCTTATCTATGGTTAATGGTCTTCTTCTTATTTGGCGAGTTCAACAAAGCACGCCAGTCGTTTATTTTCTGTGCCAACTGACGCCAATTGGAAATGCCAAGGGAAGCCAAGTCCTTCTCCACCCGGTCTTTCCATCTCAGTAGGGACCTCCCTCTTCCTCTGCTACCACCAGCGGGTTCCGAGCTAAATACTTTCTGAGCTGGAGCGTCGGTGTCCATTCGAACGACATAGCCAAGCCAGTGGAGCCGCTGTATTTTAATTCGCTGCACTATGTCCATGGCATTGTAAAGTTCATAAACTCATCGTTCCATCGTCTGCGGTACTCGCCGTCGCCAACTTGTAAATGCCCGTAAATCTGCAAAATCTTTCTCTCCAATACTCTAAGAACCGCCTCATCGGATGTTGGTATTGTCCATGCTTCTGCGCCATATACCAGCACGGGCATGACGATTGACTTATATAGAGTGTGGTTTTCGTACGTCGAGAGAAGACTTTACTCCTGAATTGCCTACTCAGTACCACTTGTTGGCAAGAGTGATTCCGGGTTGGATTTCCATGCTGACATTATTATCGGTAATAATGCTGATGAGGTCGATGTCATCGGCATAAGCCAGCAATTGCACGCTCTTGTAGTAAATTGTTCCTGAGCGATTCAATTCTGCAGCTCTTATTTCTTCTTCAACATTAGTCTAAAGAAGTCACATAAAAGGGAGTCGCCCTGTCTGAAACCCCGTTTGGTGCCGAATGGCTCGGCGGGGTCTCTATGTTTTACGAATAAGTTCAAATGTTTATAATGCAATCAATAGAACCTTACGAATTCGCCGCGATTTGTTACGGTTCTCCCCGTGCAATATAACCAAGGCACTAAGTAACGTGCGTACTTTGGTTTGCAAGATGCATTTATTTAAGCAGAAAGAAGGCAATGCCTTTGTTCGGCATTTCTTCTTACTAGCTTTCTGTCTTCCAAGGCGCATTCATATATTCATGTGGTAGCAAGAGTATAAAAACATAAAATTACCTTATAAATTATATGCACAATTATAACGTTTATGCGTAGACAAATACACGAAATCATTTCATGGATCTGAGTAAAAACTCAGTACATAAACTCCACTTCGCCTATAATTAAAATCATGAAATGGTGACATGCACTTAGCTTCTACTCAAACGCATGAAATGATTTCATGAATTAGCCTACGCATAATGGTAGTAAATGACAGAATGAATTACAACAAACACATCCTTTTGACATAATGCAAGCCGAAAACGTTGGTTCAAATCAATCCGCAATCAAGTTGGACGTTTTGCCCACAAACATTGCAGTTTTGCGAGCAGTCTCATTGTAAAATCTCATTTTTACAATTTCATAGTTTCGGCTTACATTTATAAAATTCAACGAAAGCACGTACATATTTCGGCTGAGTTATCCATTTTGGGTTATTTAGTGAACAAAATAAACGCAAAATATTTGGAATGAGTTCATACAACATGGCCATTAATATAGCGACGAGTTGTACAACTTGCAAGAAAATAAAATTTTTTTAATCTTTCATACAACTAAGACACAAATTCATTCAACAGACCCACAATCGGTGCAATCTAGAGCAAAGCATCACCAAGTTGAACCAACGGTCGATACCTTTTATGGCTTTCTTGAAGAAACACCGGGGCGAAAATTTCAACTGCTCCTGTAACGCTACCTTATATTAGTTCGCTTTGCTATCATTCTCACATATGTTTGTTCATCAGAGTATATCAACGAAAGACGAATTCATACAAAGTGATAGCGGGAGCACAGAAACTACTTTAGAAAATTATACGCGCAGTGACAAACATGAACAAATGTACAAACACATCATTTTTGACAATCAGTGCAATTCGCATTGATATCAGCGAGCAGCGTTGCTAGCTAGTTTCTATGGTTTCAAGCTAGATACTGGTAAATTTCTCAAACTGGTGATCTTCTATGTGTTGTTAAGTTTTGTTTTAAAGATAATAAATGGGTAAAATATCATGGTAGCTTATAATTACACATAAACGTGTAGTTTTATTACAACTCGGCAATTTTCAGAAGTACTGTCATAAATTTATTTCCTTTAGGCGTATTCTGTCTAAAAAAAAATAAAAAATACAATAACAGCTAAAATGCAAATAAAACATCTCTAAGAGGTAAGTGGTTTCACTTCAAAACTCTTCCTGAACATAACCTTCTCATTTGGTTTTCTGTCTTCCTTGATCCCATAACATATATACATTTATGTACACAATTATTGTATATTTTATGCACGGGACAAAGGTTTGGACGAATGATTTAGGTTTAGGGAAGACTTTTATGGCTTCAAGATAGATACTGATCAATTTCTCATACAACTGATGATCTTCCTTGTGTTGTTAAGTTTTGTTTGAAAGATAATAAGTGGGTAAAGGATCATGGTAGCTTACAATTACACATAAACCGCATTTGAAACTCCTTTATCTTAGTTACAACTCGGCAATTTTCACAAGTACTGTCATAAATTTATTTCCTTTAGGCGTATTCTAAGTATGTCTCAAAAATAAAATAAAAAATACGATAACAGCTAAAATGCAAATAAAACATCTCTAAGAGGTATGTGATGGGATCCCGAGTTCATTCAAATCGCATTTTAAAAGACAGAAACAAGCTCTTAAGGTGGTTACTAGAATACGAAATTGTCTATTAAAGATGTTTGACTTTCGAGTCCCTGTGGTTAATAATAATAATAGATTGGCGCTTACACATACATATGTTGATGTTGTCACGCAAAGCGGAGGGACCTACAGTTTTACGCCGTCTGCGAGCGGCGATTGTATTTTTATGAGAAGCTGTTTTTCATGGCAGCAATACACTCGGAATTTTGCCATTGCCTTCCGAGGGACGACCGCTGTTAAGAAAAAACCTTTTTTCTATATTTATTTTGCGATGTTGCTTTGACCAGGGCTTGAACCCAGGTGCTGTGGAGTGGAAGCGCGCACTGCTTACCACTACACCACAGCGGCCCTGTGGTTAGTTAAAAGTTTATTTCCCTGTAGAACTGATTTTATGTATGTATGTAGATACATATATGCAATTTTTGTTAATCCCATATCTCGATGCTGGATGTCGTATTTTAAGTATAAAACACGCAAGTGGTTTTAAATACATATGTATGTATTTGTGTATTGCAATGCACATTATGAATACGAAACGTTGTATTCTAAAAGCGGTTGCCTCAGACTCGGCCAACACCGCTTAGGCGGTTGTAGTTCCGAACAAGAAGAAGGAGAGTAACGCCTGTCCTGCTCTTTGAGTAAAACGGTCTGTGATAAATTTATTCGCAATCAAAATACAAATATATGTATGTCCTACATATGTACATAGTAAGCCTCCAATAATAAATCTAACATTTTAAAAACAAGTTAAAAGAATTACCTTCAATTGAGTTTTGTGTGAATCATCCACCTCTTATAACACAGCATTCAATTTTGTTTGTCGAGTCAAGATACACCCGTTAGGATGTACTTACGAAAAAACTTTTTAACAAACTGAACTTCTTTGTAGTCCATTTTGCATAACTTCTAACAGTTTCATGGTTTGCTTATAAACCACTACAAAACCATTAAATACAATTTTTGAGGTGAGTTTACGTAATGCACATGGCTAAAAATTAAGTAGGTTTAGCAACTACTATTGCTAAACAACTTTTACTAAATTTGATTCGAAAACGCTAGGGTTACAACTTCAACTTATCACAGGAATCTACAACATATTTATTATCTTTATACCTATAACACAATTTATCACTTTCACTTCTAATTAAGTAAAAGGATTTTTTTTTACTTTTCATTATTTCACAATGGCTAAAATGCCTTTTTAGTGAGAAAGGTTGTTACTAAAGCAGACGACTTCTCCATATTAACTGGCAAACAGTCCACTACGACGGAAAACTGATACAACACGTCAATATAAAGCCACTAAGGCAAAATATCCTTACAACACTAACACTTTCATAACTAGTTAACATTCACACATCTAGACACGGCACTATTTGTCTTTAATATGCACAGACGTTTCATTTTCTTATTGTTGCGTTGGTTGGTTGGTTTTTACGTCAGCTTGTTATTTTAGTTACTGTTTGGGTTCACGTGTTACCTCCAATTACTCTAGGTATCCATTCAACAACCAAACAAATAGCAACAAACCGACGCGTAAGCAATTCAAACACAAACTAATTTCTATAAGCAGTTGCTGTTCAACCTGTGGCCAGCAGACGGTTTACAAAAAATACGCAAACCTTTCAATGTGAATAGAAAGCTTTTGATATGAATGCATCAAAGCTTTTGTGGAAACTATTAAGTTCCATATGTGTGTACATAAGCTTGCTGATAGCTTGGTTTCAGTAATTGAGGGTGCAAAAGGTTTCTTCAGTATACAAGTACACAAGTATACTAGCTTCTGCCAACCTTGAAAATTTTCGTGAATGAAGACAACACTGCAAAAATACCTATCTACTGATATACATACATACATATGCATATATGATAGGTGCGTATACTACATATCGCACGCCCTTCTCATGAGAAGCACAACTAAAAAAAACTTAAGGTCGTCTATTGTCCATAAATCAATTCGTATTTATCTCCAGTTAATGCAAATACTCTTTTCATCATGATTATGTTCTCTAGTAAAAAAACAAATGTTATATATATTTGTATTAATTGCGTTGAGTGTACGATCCACAAGGATATATAAGGATCTGATTGTTGAGTTATGTCGCTTTTAAAGAGGGTGTGCGATATGTATGTATGTATGTATGTGCATTACGGTGGTCAAAAGCAAGTAATGTCGGAATTTTAACGCTCTCACCCCCTAGGATTATTCTATATCGAAAAAATATAACCCAATTTTTTGTTTTGAAATCATGAAATCAGTTTTCCATGTATTTTATATAGGGAAAAACAACTTTTCGTAGAAATGCTATGGAAATCTTGAAAATCAATACAGTATATTTTGCTTTGCTGCCTTTATGCTTAAGTGCACATTTAAGATACCTACCCCAAAATGCGCATCTGAGACATTATTTTTAAAATTTATAAGGAAACTGCTCTGATAGATGCATTCAACATACATGCACATTGGCGATACCTGCCTTAAAAATTATGCAACTAGTATCAATTATCAAAGAAAGTATTACGTTTACCTGCACTGGCCCTACAATTACCTAATTTTACAAGCTTTTATTTATTTTGCTCATATCGCAGAACAAAGAAAATGGGTATCAATTTATGTAGTTAAAAAAATAATAAGAAACCATTCGAAAAAAATTTCGCTTGCATTATTTTCTACGTGATAAGTGCTTTTCCATTATTTGGTTTCATAGGGATTCGGATAACTTCCCCATTGAAGTAGTAAAGAAAATTCGCTTAAGTGCCTTTTTCGGTTAGGTGCACAAGTTTTTCGTGCAAAGAAGGATGTGCAGCTAGGCAAAATATACTGTATTTCTTGATCAGAAAACTATGGTTCTCTTCAGGAGACTCCAAAAAACAATACCCAATTGTTTATTTAACCATTTTTTAATACCAAAGATTTTTTATTATTTCCCCCATTGCATTTTCTGACATTTTCTGGGGGTTTTTGCGGACCTATAAAATATAGTTACTATAAAAAGAATGGTTAAATAAATAATTGGGTATTATATTCTGAAGAGGAACAGAGTTTTGCCGATCGAAAAATATTGGTTTTCAAGAATTATATACCATTTCTACGAAAAATGTTTTTTTCCCCAAATAAAATACAAAGAAAACTTTGAGCGCTTTGAGCGACCTCTAAATATATTTTGATTTCAAAATAAAAGAATAGGGGTATATTTTTCAGTATAGAACAATCCTAGGGGGTGAGAGCATAAAAATTCCCGCTTTACTGTTTTACATGCCTTTTTGGACCACCCTAATGTGCATACATACCAAAAGTGTTGCACATAAAGGATGCTACCCAACCAGCAAAGGAACGTACGCTTTGAGGGAAGTGCGTTTTTATATCTGGAAAGCGTCAGAATAACAATAGCCGTGTTTTATTTGTCCAGAAATTTAAGCTATTAGCTTATTTTGTATGGAGGACTTTCCCAACATAATTATATTGGCTTATGAAAAGCTATCTTGGCTTGTATATTGAACAAGAGGCATTGCCATTCAGCATCAGAAATTTTCTCCTTCAGCCAATCAGAAAGAGGCAAAAACTTACTTTGACAATATTTGCAGTCAAACAACTGTCAAAATTAGGCTAACATAGGAAATAAGCTAATTTCGTTTCATTTGACCAAGATTTAGCTATTTGCTTGTGATGGTTGAATAAAACATGCCTAATATGTTAGTTGGAAATAATTACTCTGACCCCAAAAATGTATTCTCTCAATCGTGCTCTGACCCAATACTAGATGCAATCCCGTATTCCTCGGACAAAAACTAGTACAACTGCCAAAAAATAAAAATTCGCTCAGAGCGAGAGAGTAACATTGAAAAGTACGGGATCGCTTTCTAAAAATACTTTCAAATTCATTAGAATCCACTTTAACAAGTGCAGAGTGCACTTTTCTTTTGTTAACAATTTGGTTGCAACACACTACAGCTGATCGTTTGACACATTTACCAGAATTTACCAGCAAAAAAATCTCGGACTAAAACTGGTAACCAGCGTTGCCGTTTTGGTCCAATTGGACCAAAATTGGTAGCTTCATTCTCCGTCGGCAGTTTGGTTGGTTTGATGAAGTTTTTGGCAGGCAAAATTGTGTTGAAAATACAATCAAATTGAACATTAAAATTTGTTTGCTTAATTTAAGTTTACACGTTCAAAACACTGCTTTCACTTTGCTTACACGTATAAGATTTCTTTGTTTTTTTCTTTTCTTTATTTTATTAAATAGACAATTTTCTGCAAACAAAAACTCACTTCCCAAAGCTATGACCGATTAGCTGTTGCAATGAACGAGAAATTACCTATTGTCTTGAAAGAAAAATTGGTGATAGGCAATTTGCAAAGTGTGAGTGTATTGGTAATAAAAAAGGGTCAGTATATGCAAATTGAATCAAATTTGGATTTTTTTATTGAAATGCATAAAATGTCTGCTTTTGTTTATTCACACACAAAAAAAAATTTTTTTTTGATATGCATTGAATCAATCTCAAAGAGATTTACTTATTTTACAAAAGTTTTTTATTCAATAACTTAATTATTTTATTTAAAGGCCCGAACTTCTTTTGTTTAATCTGAAAGATTGGTGTGAATAATTAACCAATACTGTAAACAATATTACGTGCAGTTTTAATTTTTACTGCTAATTTGTGTAGCTAAAAACCTTGCAAAACCGAGAAATCTCGTTTTAATGATGAACCAATTTTGGTAGTTTGGAAACTGATTTGGTAGGCGTTTTGGTACCTAAAAATATTTTCAAGCGGCAACACTGCTGGTAACTTCTGACAGAGAGATAACCGTATTTGCTCTCTTTTTTGTCCTCTCAATAGTCAGAGAACCGAGTACGCGATCGATTTCCAGTAAAATCTGACTATTTCTGACTAGTCCGGACTCGTACGGGATCGCATCGGGTAAAATCCTGTAAAAATGTCAAACAGCAAAATTACTCTCTGAAGTGAGAGTAAAAAGTGAGTAACAGCAAAAATTACGGGAAACCAAAAGGTGTTTTTCTGTAAAATCGTCAACCAGTAACCGCTTGATACTTTTCATGATTTTACAAGGAGAAAAAGTTCGGGTAAATTCTTTCAACTTCGTTTCTCAACACAACTTTCCAAAAACTGCCCTCATTTAAAAGATTTCGGAGTACGGGATAATTTTTCCTGTAACTTCCTGCAAGTTCGTGAAAAAACCTGTAAGTTCATGGACTGCTGGATAAGAGCTAACAATTGTAAAAATGCTGATTCAAACCAATTATTTGAAAACGTATACATATGTACATATGTATGTACACACATACTACATATAGCCCGTTTAATAATATAAAGATGTAACTCAAAATTTACGTTTTTGGAGATTTCGTTATGCAATTAATAACCTTGATAAGTAGAATATGTTCCGTTTAACAGATAACCAAACTTCCCAAATATGGCGAAGATATGTTTATTTCCATCTGTCTCTTTCTATATGAACTGTATGAATTGATAAAACTTTGATTGCGTTTTCCCACAAAATTGAAATTTTGAAATACTTCTATATATTATTAAACGTGCGATATATGGTACATATATGAAAACCGATTGAATGGGAACACGAAAACATTACAAAAATGCGGCATCCCTGCCAGCAATTGGAATATAATTTTGTCGCCTATCGCCTCGATGTCACATCTTCGTCACTATTGGAAGCTATGAAAGCGATAGTAACTCATTTCACAAAACCAAAGAAACGTTTCTGTCGCTTTTCTATCTCTTAACAGGTGCACGGACGATTTTTACTCTTTGAAGTTTTCAAAATTAACAAGGCAAATCTTGAAAGTTCAATCTAGTAAAATTATAATTTTGTTTCCTATTTTATTTTATTTTTTTCAGTTAACGTGTTATTCGGTTTATTATGTTAATGCCTTTTTACCATACATTTCTGGAAAATGGAGTAAGTAACTCTGCGGCTGTGGTTGCAAGCTCAGAGGTATCCCAAATTTCCAAATTAAGTTTTATCAAAAATTCAACCAACAGAAGAGTTTTCTTCAACACTTCAGACAGTCGCCAGTCCAGCGCTGGCCTGGCTCACTTGATTGGTAGCTACTGGCGTAATGTAAAATAAACTGTTTGAAAATACCGCTTCATAGGAGGTGGGCGTATATGTTAAGGCGCGTTCACCGTTCGTGTTCGGACAACTTTTTAGTTGCTCTCAAAACAAATTTGCCGGAGAGGTTGCTGAAGTACAGTTCACCGTTCAGTTCGACACATTTTATTTTGTTCTGTAGCAAATAGCTGATGATATTGTTGCCTACATACGATTTTGAGGGCAAATAACACATGCAATTCGCTGCAAACGTATATAAAGGAGAACGCGGCAACCCGAATCATCAAGTCGTTCAGACAGAAAATCAAAATCAATTTGATTCGAACAAAGAGTGTTCAGCACATTTTTGTTGCGCTCTCAGTGAGACAAGTTGGGAATGGAACGCGTAAAATTACTAACAAAAAGTGTCCGGACACGAAAGGTGTATCCGCCTTTAGT